GGTGGCAGATGCACCAGCACTTGGGAGGCAGAGGCAGGTGGATCTCTGTGAGTTCAAGGCCAGCCTGGTCTACATAGTGAGTTCCAGGACAGCTGGGGCTACAGGAAGACCCTGTCTCAAAAAGAACAACAACAAAAAAAAGGCTAGGGAAGGGCTAGAAGGATGGGTCAGCAGTTAAGAGCAGACTGTACTACTGTAGAGGACAGATGTTCAGGTCTCAGCATCCATGTCAAGTGGCTCACAACCACCTCTAACTCCGGAGGATCCAACACTTCTGGTCTCCATGGACACCTGTACTCACATGTTCTGTTCTTGCAGACCTGGGTTTGAATCCCAGCACCCACATGGCAGCTAACAACTGTCTGTAACTCCAGCTGCAGGGGATCTGACAGCCTCTTCTGTCCTCCTTGGGCATTGCATGGCACGGGTAGACTTACCTACATGTAGGCAATACATGCATACACATAAAATAAAATAAAATAAATCATGTGCCACCATCACAGGCTATTTAAAGCAAAATATTTCCAATTCCCAAAGCTATTCGAGTTAATTTCATAAACAGATAAATGAAATAACAGCCTTCTTTTGACATCATGACTTCCATAAAAGCAGTTTCAAAAAAAAAAAAATCAAAGAGTTGCAATGTTGATAAAATGTAAACTATTAAACATGTTTAAAATCCAGACAGTATATTTAGATTTGATATGTAGAAAGGGCAATTCTCATTCTGAAATAACACTATTACTTCATTCTTTTTCACCTCAACCACAAATGCCTGCCTCTCAAGTTTTCAGTTTCCTTTAGAAGCAGGAACTAGGCAACCTGCCCCTGCGCCCCTCACTACCACCACCACACATTGTGCCATGCTGGACCACAGGGCCTATCACCCACTTCTCCCTGTAAGTAGAAGCTAAGATTTCTAAAACTCATCACTGGACAGGTCAGTCAAGACAAAATTATTTTCTTCAGGAGTTAGGTGATGCCTAGTCCTAATGAAAAGCAAGAGGAGCCTAGGGAGGACACGAAGCTTAAGACTGACAGCAACACTTGCATATTTTTTCAACAACCACAGCAAAACTTTTAGAAGCCATTTGAAATGAGTTAAATTTTTTAAATTCATTTTTAAAAAAATTTTATTTACTATTTTTATGTGTATGTGTGTATTGCCTGCATGTAATGTCATGCAATGCTGGCAGAGGTCAGAAGAGACTGTCAGATCCCCTGGAACTGGAGTTATGGACAGTTGTTAGCTGCCATGTGGGTGCTGGGATTTGAACCCGGGTCTTCTGCAAAGACAGCCAGTGTTCTTAACTGCTGAGCCATCTCTCCAGCCCTAAAATGAGTTAAATTTTAAAATAACAAACTTCATTTTATTTGTATCTTGTCAAAGCTTGAGACATTTCCTCTGAGACAGGGAAGCCTGGTGGAAGACGTTGTAATGAAATGGCGACATCACTGTAGTATCTGTTTTTTTTTTTAAGACAGGCCCATTAGCCTACCCAGGACAGTGAATGCTGTGATTATAGGTGCCACACATACCATCACTGGAGTACCTTTAGATAGACTTTTAGGTTAGAACACTAATTAATTTCATCATGACACTGGCATATAAGGTAGACATGTTTTTTTCTTTTTTTTTTTTAGTCTTTTTGAGACAGGGTCTCCCTGTAGCCCCAGCTGTACTGGAACTCACTATGTAGACCAGGCTGGCCTTGAAGGTACAGGGATCCACCTGCCTCTGCCTCCTGAGTGCCGGGATTAAAGGTGTGCGCCACCACGCCCGGCTCTTTTCTTTTTCTTAAATGGGGTCTCACCATGTAGACCTAGCCTGCCTAGAGCTCACTATGTAGATCAGGCTGGCCTCAAATTCAGAGATTTTGCTTGCCTCTGCCTCCTGAGTGCTGAGATTAAAGCTATGTGGATACCACAACCTGGCCTTAAAAAAAAATTTAAAAATATTGGGGTGGGGGCCAAAACCTGACAAATGAGGACCTTCATCAGCCCACCAAAACAGTATTAATGCTTTTCAGATACTGATACATTGTCGACGGGTAGGAGTTTAAGATAGGGCATCCATTTAGTGTGGTTTTCAGGTGTTCCTTTCCAACTTGTAAACCCGATGATTCATCCAACAAAAACTTACTGAGCAGTTCTGTAGTTACATCAGACAGACACTGTTTTAAGTACCAACTGTGGGTTGGGGGTGTGTCTCTGTGGTGGAGTGTTTGCCACACACTGGTGAGACCCTGGGTTCGAGCTCCAGCACCAAAAAATGAAAACTAAAAACAAAACAGGAAAACAAACCAGTTAAAACCCATTAAATGCCAATAGTGACAAAGTGAGCCAGGTATGGTGGCACACGCCTTTAATCCCAGCACTTGGGAGGCAGAGGCAGGCAGATCTCTGTGAGTTCAAGGCCAGCCTGGTCTACATAGTGAGTTCCAGGACAGCTGGAGCTACAAGGAGATCCTGTCTCAAAAAAAGACACACACACACCCAAAAAAAGACAAAGTGTCTATAAATGGTGAAGAAAAATTCTGCACTAAAAATTTCTGAGGAAAAAAAAAAAGAGGACAAATGTCAAGAAATTTAATGTCAGGAAAATGAAATGCAAGCTCATTTACTCAAAATAACATTTCAAGAGATAAACTTCACAATGTTTGGCAAAATGTCTCATTTTATTATTTTTCCACAGCCAGAAAGAGGAATGCAAAAAATCAGCAAGGTAGGGGGTATGGTAGCTCATGCCTGTAACCCCAGGGCTTGAGAGGCTGAGGTAGGACTGTCACCAATTCAAGGCCAGAGTGAGACCCTGTAATGCCAGTAATAACAACTGTGACAACGTGACATGAGCATATGACAGCAGAATACACAAGCGACACAGAAACATGTGACTGCATTCGTTCTGTCAATTTAGGACTCACTGGGCGGTGCCTAGATTCTCACTTTACAGGTGGTGCACCCTGGGAGCCAATTCTTTCTGAGCAGTGCATTAAAGGAATACAAATGCTGATTCTTGCTAGGTGTAGTGGCTCATACCAGTGGCCCTATGCAGACTGAGGCAGAAGCACCTTCAGTTCAAGGTCAGCTGGGGCTTTGTCTCAAAAAAAAAAAAGTCTCGGAGTGGTTAAGAGCACTGACTGCTCTTGCAGAGGACCTGGGTTTGAGTCCCAGCACCCACTCGGTGGTTAACAACCATTCGTAACTCCAGTTCCAGGGAATCTGATGCCTTCTTCTGACTTCCCGGGGCACTGCACGACACTGGTGCACTCACATACATGCAGGCAATACACTCATACACATAAAATAAAAATAATAAAATATTTTTCAAAAAGTCGCCATTTAATTATAGTTAGGACTAAATTTTTAATTCCCTGTCTGCTAGCTAGAATAATTCAATACTTAAATGTCTCACCTTGTGTTCCTAAAATTTAGATCTACACCAGAAATTTGGAAATGGAGACTAAGGCCAACCAAACAGTAAGCAGTGACGTCATTGAAGCCAAGGGACCATGTTGCTAAGTTATAGGGAAGCTGCTGTTCATCTGGAAGTTAGCCCAGAACACAGAAATTTGGAGGACAAATGCTAGTGTTTTCAACAGAAACAGGGTTCCAAATTTGCTGCCTCATTCCTTTATCTGCCCAAGTTTCCTGTGATGCCGTTTCTACCCAAATAGCATTCACCACACTGGAAAATCCAGCAGGGCACAGCAGCTCTAAGACAGGTGGAAACCCATTGTTAAGGAAACCACTTAGAGAATATATTTAATGCTAAGATCGGGAATATTATGTTCTTCAGAACGACCAATCCAGCAGTGTGCCCATAGAGACGAAAAGCATTCTTCAGTCTCTCGAAATCCTTCCTTTGACAAATCGCATTTTTTTCTTCAAAGACTCAGCCCCTTTAAGAACCACCACCTGCATGTGGTGCATATTTTTTAAGAAGGCATCTGCACTGCAGATCTCCGCACGAGGGGAGCTCGACAGCCAGCTCCCACCAGTAGGCAGACGGGTATACAATAGAAACTAAAGGAAGCCTGCTAGTCTTTTCACAGAGAAGGGAGAAAGAGGGGGATTCGAGCTGCCTCTGCTTTGTCTGAATTTTCTCCTCTCCCCGCCACCCCCTCTACAGTAAACGCTCCCTTTTGTTAAAAGGCTATTAATAATAGCCCATAGAAAACATGAAATCAAAACATGTTGATGGGTTGGCATGACTATTATCTTGTAGAATATAGCCACTGATTGCGTTTCCCCACCCCCACGATGCACCAGTGAAGACCCGGCTGTGCCGCAGACGCAGCCAAGGATCCATCTTGGACCATCAGCAGGTCCCTTCCCAAATCTTCCGGAGCTATTCTCATCCCGCCTCCCCTACACCTCAGAGCCTCAGGAAAACCAACGCAGTAAAGAAATAAGCTACCAATTCTTTTTATTCAATTTTCTGACCTTCCCCAAGGGTAAAGAAAAAAACATTTTTTGGGGGGGAGACTAAACCAGTCACGTCCAATTCTGTCAACACCTGTTTGCAAACCTCCACTGCAACGCCTTCCACCACCTCCCGCTTTCAACATCCTAACCGGATCCTCTCACCAACGAACCGCCTGTCACAATCCTCTCCTGCTCGCTAATCCTCCACTAAGTCCCCCCCCACGGGTGGCTCGGGCGGGCTCTCCTGCCTCCCCCAGCGCCTCCCTCCCGGGCAAGCAGCCCTCCTCCCGGGATCCCGCCGCCGGGCCTCCCTACTCGCCGGGTCTCGGACCAACGCCCACTCTCCGGGCGCCCTCCCCGCCCCCACCCCGTTTTGCCCTCACCCCGTTATTTCTTGAGTTCCCGCACGGCCCGTCGCTCCCCTCCCCCTTCGCCCGTTTCCCCAGCGCCCGAACGGGGACCAAGGCAGGTGGCCCGCCCGCCCCCGGCCCTCCGCGCCCCCTAGGCCGGAGCCCCCAAGGCCCGACCCCTAAGCGCGCGCCCAAGCCCAGGCCCGCGCACCCCGTGCTCACCCGCACACGAGGAGCCGCAGCTCTTTGCCCCCAGGGCGGGGCAGCTCCCGCCGGCGGGCGCCGACGACTCGACCCCGGAGGACGACGAGGAGACGGACGGGAACTGAGTGGCCGCCGACGACTCCGCCATGGCTGTGCGAGAGAGGGCGGGAGACGCGAGAAGAGAGCCGAGGGGCGGGAGAGTGGGAGTGACACGGATCAACCCCGCAGCTCGCTGTCCGGAGTCGCCTTCCGACAGACTGACAGACTCCGCCAAGAGCGGCCGGGAGGAAGGCGAGCACGCATGCGCACGGGGAGCCCGAGCCCGCGAGGTGCGGGTGGGCGGTGGCCGCGGAGGCGCTCAGCGACACAGTGCGCAGGCGCAAGAGCTGTCCCTCTGCGCTCCCCTCGGCGAGGCGAGCCCCTGGTGGGAGGGGGAGGAAACCTGACGTAAGGGGCGTGGCCAAGCAGCCAGCCCCGAACGCCTCTGCAGCCCTGGGAGTAGCCTTGTTTGTTCATGGGTCTTGGTGCGACTGTCTTCTCGTTGTCCGGTTATATATTTTTAACGATCGAGGTTTCTTTGTGCTTCCATAAGCTGCAAATAATTTTTGCTCACAGATTCTAGAGTTGATGTCTTTTGTGTCGGGTGCTTTCCCGCCTGTGACTCCGCCCCTCCAAAAAAGTGTAGACCACAGTGTAGACAGGCCCCACCGTGTAACGTGCTTTATGAATTTATCTGCATGTGTTGTGATATCGCCTCACCGTGTGGCAGACATGGCACGGTCCCGCGTCTGGTAGGTGGAGGAAGATGCTCAACAGAGTGGGAAACTATTACTCATTCCAATCACATTGTAATGCAGACGCGGAATTTGCAGCATATTTTGGTCTTGTTATTCTTCCCAAAGAGGGCTCCACCTTAGGTGTTAAGGTTGTCTGCCTCAGAATAGGTTCTGATATAGAGAAGATATATTTTGGAAGGCAAAAATAAGCTGAGCTGAGCTGCTAAGGAAAGTAAAACCAGATCACATCTTGGTTGTGAGTCTAGGAAGGATAAAATGAGGCACAAATGCACATAATTGAATTTTACTCATGTCCTAAGATGGATTCTTAGAGGAAAACGTATTTGAAACAAGACATCAAGTATTTGTTGAATTTTGTTCATTTTTGCCTCTGGGTAGGCTTGCTAAACTCAAAGTACCCCCTACATCTGGTCATAACAATTGAAAGGTGCATAATCCTTTTTAAAAAGGGAATACATCTTCGAAATGACAAAAATCAAAGACTGTGGGATTTCATATTACCAAAGCGGCAGTCGATGACCCAAAGTGCAATAGCAGGTTCAGCAAATCCTATAAAGATGCAAACTCATGAAGGGGCAGGCAGGCAGGCTGCGGCAGAGAGGAAAAGCTATCTGGCCAGTGGAAATCTAGAACAAACTGTGGCCTTCATCTGCCCTTGACAGTTTTGAAGGTTGAATAAAGAAAAAATAACATCCTGGCTCTTGCAATGCTCTGAAAAAGGCAGAGAATATTTCCCAAAATAACTTTGTGGAAACTATCTTATTCTGGCACTCAACAGCATCAGTTGATAATGCAGCAAACTGTCCCTTAGTGGCAAAGGGAAATATAAACCAGTGTGATAACCAAATTAGTTATTTTTGGTCAATACCTAAGGTTTTTTTCCTCTCTTTCTTTTTCTTTTCCTTCCTTCCTTCCTTCCTTCCTTCCTCCTTCCTTCTTTCTTTTCTTTTCTTTTTTCTTTTCACAGGGACTCACTATGTGGCACCTTTCTGGCCTGGAACTCACTTATAAACCAGGTTGACCTCAAATTCACAGAGATCCACCTTCTTCTGCCTCTTGGGTGCTGGAATTAAAGGCTTATGACACCATGGGGGCCCCTAAGTATTTTTCTTAAAGTCTATGTCATAGCTAGATTTGGTAGCATATGCTTGTAATCCTAGCACTTAGGAAGTTGAAGCAGAAGGATCAGGAGTCTGAGGCCAGCCTGTTCATACTGACACCCCGACTCAGAAAGAAAAAACAATAAATTAAAAACAGTGCTTTTACCTGCTGGCTAAGTGTGCTGGATAGCTTTAGTGTCAACTTGACACACTTGGGTTGAGGGAGCCTCAGTTGGGGGATTGCCTCTATTGGACTGGCCTGTGGCCATGTCTGAGGGGCATCTTCCTGATGAGTGATATGGGAGGGCCCAGTCCACTGTGGGTGGTGCCACCCATGGGCAGATGGGCCTGTGTTGCATAAGAAAGCAGGCTGAGCAGGGGCCAGGGGAGCAAGCCAGTAAGCAGTGTTCCTCCATGGCCTGTGCTCCAGCTCCTGCCTCCAGGTTCCTGCCCTGAGTTCCTACCTTGGGCTCCCTGATAACTATGACCCAGGAGACGTAGGATAAATAAATCTTTTCCTCTCCAAGTTGGTAGTGGTCAGAGTATTTTGTCTCAGCAATGAAGAATCAAACTAGGATACCACTTAAAGCTAGGTGTGGTGGTACACACCTTTAATCCCAGCACTGGGAGGCAGAGGCATGGAATCTGAGTTCAAGGCCAGTCTGATCAACACAGCTAGTGAGTTTCAGGCTACGCAGGGATAGGACGTTTCAAGGAAAAAAAAATAGCCTATACTAACAGTCAATGGCATGGAAATCAGGTCAAGAGCCCACACCCTAGAAGGTAAGATGTTGGAGTGGGGTAAGCAATGGTCCCCCAAAACACCAACTTGGGGAAGCTGGGGACACATACAGGAAAGCAGAGTTCCTCCATGGCCTGTGCTCCAGCTCCTGCCTCCAGGTTCCTGCCCTGAGTTCCTACCTTGGGCTCCCGGATGAACTGCGACCTGGGAGATGTAAGCTGAATAAACCCTTTCCTCCCTAAGTTGGTAGTGGTCAGAGTGTTTTGTCACAGCAATGAAGAAATAAACTAGAACACTAAGGAAATGAATAATAGTGGTATATCACAACACCTGCTAGAAACTAGAGGCCCTGGCTGGGAAAGAAGCCTGTTTCCCTGATATCTAGAAGCATAGACTGCGTGTGTGTGTGTGTGTGAACTTTTTGTGGTCCAGTGAGACGACTCTGGGTAAAGGCACTTGCTGCCAAGCCCTGGAACCCACATGATGGACAGAGAGAACCAACTCCCTGAAAGTTTTCCTTTGATGTCTACACATGCCCTGTGGTATGCTCAGGTGCATACACACACACACACACACACACACACACACACATAAATAGGAAGAAAAAAGAAAGGAAAACTTTGTGCTGGGTCTAGCTCCCAAGGCTTCTGTTTGTGTTTTCTCATGCTTGTTATAGCAGTCAACATCCCCGAGACTGATTCTTCCTTGGGCTGTTTGTGTGTTTGTACATATGACTTGTTCATGAATATTTACTGATCACCTGTTCTGTGTATGCTATGGTTCTGGGAACTTGAGAGGGACCCCAAAATCTAACATGTTTGTCTTGTCTTTGGGGACTTCGCAATCTAACTTCCAGCATAGAATATATATAGTTGGCCAGGCGTGGTGGTGCATGCCTTTAATCCCAATACTTGGGAGGCAGAGGCAGGTAGATCTCTGTGAGTTCAAGGCTAGCCTGGTCTACATAGCAAGTTCCAGGCTAGCTGGGACTACAGGGAGGCCCTGTCTCAAAAAGATAAAAAAATAAATAAATGAATAAAAATAAATTTAAATAACACAAATTGAATAATAATTCAAACTAACCCAGACAACATGCAACTATAGTGCTTTGATTAGATGGTAGCAAACTTTATGAAATTTATTTATTTATGTACATGAGTGTTACCTGCAAGTATGTAACTGCACCCATGTCATGCAATGTCCACAGAGGCCAGAAGAGGGCATCAGATCCCCTGGAACTGTGCCATGTGGGTGCTGGGAATTGAACCTGGGTCCTCTTTTATAGGAGTCACTGCTCTTAACCACTGAGCCATCTCTTCAACCCCAAATATTTTTTTAAATATTATTTTTCTTTTATGTGTACGAGTGTATTGCCTGCATGTATGTTAGTGCACCCGTGTCATGCAATGCTGCAGAGGTCAGAAGAGGTTCAGCCCCAAATTTTATGAATTTAAAAGAGTGAAGGAGCTAGGCCTGGGGTGCATGCCTTTAGTCCCAGAACTTGGGAGGCAGAGGCAGGTGCATCTCTGTGAAATCGAGGCCAGCCTGGCCTACATAGTAAGTTTCAGGCCAGCTGGAGCTCAGGGAGATCATGCCTCAAAAAAGATGAAAAAAAAAAAAAAACCCCAAAAAAACTCTAAAATAATACTAACAGTAAAAAAGGGGGAGACTGATGATGTAGTCCAGTGGTAAAAAGCTTGCCTAAAATGTGCAAGGCTTTGAGTTTCATCCCCAGCAGACACACACACACATACACACACACACACACACACAAAGCCTGGCGTGGTGGTGCACATCTTTAATCCTAGCACTTGGGAGGCAGAGGCAGTTGTATCTGTGAGTTTGAGGACACTCTGATCTACACAGCCAGATGGGGCTACAGGGAGATGCTGTCTCAAAAAGCAAAAAACAAAAACCATAACAAAAGAGGAAGCATCCACTATTAGAGTGCTGGCTTGGGAAGGTTTTGTATAGAAGTTCAAAGCTAGTTTAGAGCTGTAAGGAGGTTGTTATACACAGAGAAGGATGGTTTGAAGCAAACACAGAATATCAGGCACCCTTTCGGCCAGACAAGCCACATAAACAGTACCACTTCCTCCCAGTGCAGCCCACCTTCAGCTCCATGCTCAGAGGGGTGTGACCTAGATTTGATCTCCTGTTTGCCCCCTCCTCCACAGGCTGCCATGGTGCAACACACAAGTGTTTCAGGCGTTGGTTAGACCAGGTTAGTAGAGCCAAGGACTTGAATGAGACAGAAGCAAGAAGTGAGGACTGGATACAAAATGGGCAAGATATTTTAGGATCAGGGAAGTAGTAATATTACACTGCAAAATTGAAATGTTGGGCCGGGCGTGGTGGCACTCACCTTTAATCTCAGGACTTGGGAAGCAGAGGCACGTGGATCTCTGTGAGTTTTTGGCCAGCCTGGTCTACATAGTGAGACCCTGTCTGGAAAAAAAAAGAAAACCAAAACAACAAAAAGAATGGAGATATTGGATATTGAGGACTAGGGAATTCAGGCCAGTGATGGAGTGCTCAATTAATATGCCCAAGGCCTTGACTTAATCCCCAGCACCACAGAGTGAGGGGAAGGGTTTGAGGTATTATCTTCAAGCTAATGGGAATTTGGCTGAAGTTTTCAGGCAGAGAATGGCTCAGGAGATTGTTATTATTATCTCATCATTGCTATAGTGTGTATCAAACCTAGCGCTTCATGCATGTTAGGCAAGTGTTCTGCAG